CGCGGTGGGGGCCGAGGGAACCGGGCAGAGTTTTTCACCAGTCAACGTGTATTAAAGTTTAAATCTTCCGGACAAAATTATAAAAGTGCCAGTCAAACGTCTTCTTTGCTATTTATTGAGCTTTAAACAAATGAATAACGAATCTATATAATATAATAATAAAATACACGGAAAATCTATTTTTCCTCCCTCTCTTCTGACAGCGTCAGTGTCTGTCTCATGCAGCAGCTGATCCAGTATGAGTGACCCGACAGTAAAAATAAACATGTTTATAACTAGTGCAGGTAGTTTGAGAGGTAATTAAAATAGCTAAGAGAGATGATCTGACTTGAAGTGTGTATTTTGCTCCGTTCACCGCTGCATCTCAGCGGGAGGAGCTGCAGGTGAGCAGAGCTGCGTGTCTCCGTCCTGTCAGATTAGACTTCACTCGCGTTTATGTCCATATCGAGAGAAAGATAAATAATCTGAATTCAGTGTGCAGTTTACTTTGACGCGGGGGTGAGCAGCAGAGGTGGGGATAGGCGGGGCTATTGCGTCATCATTATCAGAAAATGATCGTAGGGCGTACACACGGAGCCGTTGGACCCCCCCAGTGCGTTGCGTGTGCCGTTCTATACACCTTGGGACCCGTTATCGTTTCCGCAGTTGTTTACTGTCATATTCGGTCGTCCTCGTGTGGCAGAACGTCTATATGACACTAAACAGTAACGCAAACGACCGTTTTCGTCCTCGTGGGGCCGGGGCCTTAGTGTTGCATTGTTGGAGAAGCCTGTGACCTAAGATTTTCAACGACATAATTACTCTGTAGCTATGTTAGTTTGACAATGAAGAACCTTGAACCTTGAACCTTGAAGAGAACTAGGCCTATACCAAATGTGAGAGTTTTGCTGAGACATAGAAAAAGTACAAAGGAGCAATAAAACTGAAAAATTATGGAATACAGACAAATTAATAATTACTACTTTCATTACTACCAACATTATTATTACACAGTTGCAGTTGTTTTTTGTGTGTGTAGAGTTACTCGTGTTAGATTTAAACAAAAAAAAAAGTGCAATGTAGTGCATCAGCATAAAAGAAAAAGACTGATGTAAAGTCCTTATATGTTTTAATAAATTCTAGCTGAAAACGGCTTTATAAAAATAATATGGGTTGTTTTAGAATTATTTTTACTTTTTGTTTCCAAGAAGTCATAGGAAATTATTTCCTGTCACTCTGCTATGGTTAAATGTCTCTAATACTGCAGCACACTCAGCGCTGTGGTTAATCGGCTCTCAGTTACATGTGCAGAATGATTCTTAGTTGTCACGTATATTACTTTCTCATCTATTACCAAAAGTAGCATCACAAAATAGACCAACCGCAACTAACATTTGTTATCTCTAAACTTCCCCCTCTTCTAACCCCACAAAGGCATCTCAATGCTTCAGCAGGTGATCAGCTGGAACATCAATGTACCAAAAACAGTTACTGCAGTGGAGGGGAGCTGTGTTGTGGTGCCATGTCAGACACAATCTCATTCTAGGGTCATATGGTACCAGTACCATACAATAAATTATCCTGTTGTGTATGATGGACGCCGTTCCAATGCAGTGGAAAAACAGTTCAGAGGACGCACATCAATACCGGGTGAAGCTTCAGAGGGGAACTGCAGCCTGATGATAGATAATGTAAAAACATCCGACAACAACCTACGCATTTATGTTTGGATCAACCCAGACTCTCAATCAACTGAGAAATTCCATCATCAAACTGTAACTATCTCTGTTGGTAAGTAGGCTAAGTATTTGGTAACTATTATCATAAGAATGCCAGGTTAACCAGGTTGAGAGATATAAAGTGAAGGGAAAAATGCCAATGGAAAATACAATTCCCATATGACATTTCTTTACATTTTTACACAATTGTTAATCTAAAAAGTAATAGTTTTGTATCTAAACTTTTACTAGTTTTTTTCCATTATCATTTTTGTTTTACTTCCAGAGAGAAACGCTATTAAAATGCAGATTCAGAAACGGATAGTGAATGGGGAGATGTTCCAGGCTAACTGCAGCGTAAAGCACTCCTGCCCTTCCTCACCCCCATCCCTTCATTGGAACAAAAGTCCATTTCTAAAAGACTCCACTTCAATGACTTTCAACGCGCTTGAACAAGGCCAATGGTGGTATACAGATACACTACATGGACTAGCAACCTATAAAATGCATAACAGCAAAATGTGGTGCTCTACAAAGTTCACCACAGAAAGTGCACGGACAACACTCAACATTTTATGTAAGTGATACAGTTTACCTGGTCAAAGTAATTACAGGAGTGGATTCACTTGCCAGGTATTATTTACTATGTATTGTTTGTTGTGATTTTATTTCTCGACAGATGAACCTGTGAATGTGATCCTGACACAGCAAAAGGAACCAGTGATGGAGGGTGGCAGCGTCACCCTGGAGTGTGCTGCTGACTGTAACCCACAACCACACACGTACAAATGGCTCAGAAGACAGATGGGTCAGGTCAAGGGAATAAATTCAACTGAGAAAAAAAGACCCTTCAACAATATCGCGCGAGACACCTCTCTCTCCTGCATCGCTTACAATGACTTTGGAACAAGGCAGTCCGACTGGTTGGATTTAGACGTTCAATGTAAAAACAATTATATTCCATGTCCTCTATTTCTCTAGAGTGTACTGATGAAATCCTAATTTACTCAGGACCCAGTGCTGAACATTCATACCAAGATTTTGCTCAGCTGGCTACTGACAGAACAACACCAGCAGAGAAATGTAACTACATCCATTAAGGCGCCTGGTCATTTAATACCACCTGACACAATTCATAGCAAGCTACTTGCAAATTGCAATGTAACCTTACCTTCCGCTCCGACGTGCTGATTTAACAGAATAACCATCCGCACATTTATTTTTATTTCATTCATTTATTGGTTATATTTTATATGGCGTTAAAATATGTTCAGTTATGTCAAATTGTAATATAAGCTATACTTTATCTTTCAAAACTAACAGTGTAAATAATAACAGCAAAGACACAGTTCAAGTTTATCAAGCAAGAAATAGGGTGCAGGCTTCCTGTGATTAGCCTGCACACATTCATACAATGGATGATATGTGGTACAGTATGCATTGTAGAAACAAGCCATTAAAATCCCCTACAAATATTTAACAAAAACATAAAATGTTTTTTTAAAGGAAACATGTTATAAGCTTGTTGACAATGCATATTTGAATAAAATCATACAATACATTGTAGAGGATGATTGTGATAACTTGGTAGATAACATTACATCCTGTCTTTCTAGATGCCCCTGTAATCCTACCGGAGTCCTCCTGCCTCCTGACAGGGAAAAGTCTGAAGTGTGTCTGCAGGGCTGAAGCATCCCCTTACCCCTCTATACATTGGAGCATTGATGGAAATTACACTCTTCCGTCTTCCTTCAGCTTTGTTTCCACAAATGTAGTCTCTGGGGAAATAAATTGTGCAGCTCAAAGGCAATCCAAAATATCTTGCACCGCCACAAACTACCTGGGCAGCAACACAAAATTGCTGTCCGTAGAAACATGTAAGTCACTATTGTGTTTCCCCTAACTACATGCACTTAAAGGCAGATCAAGAGTATTTTGTTTATTTATATTTTCTTTCACAGCCTCCATGTATATCTGGCTGTTAGCTTTTGTGATCCCAGGAATTGGTTTGCTATTTGGAAGTGCAGTGTTCATTTACAGGAAAAAATCGAGAAACAGGTTGGTAGACTTCACTCTTTGTCATGTACATACATGTACGGTAGAGCTGTGAATAATCTTTCTATTGTTGCTGTATTATCCACAGACCAGCAGCATACTTCGTGTGCAACACTGATATCCTTTTAAGGTAAAACTGGAATGTATCAGTTGTCTATTATTTATTTCAAATTGCTAAATTCAAATCACATCTTTTTGTTTTGCATTCTTTTTTCAAGGGAACAAAGCTTATGTGACATCGCAGAACCAGAAGAGAGATATGGCAACTTTGAAAGGTAAATAAAACTATTGTATTCCCAATGTATGTATATTCAAGTCACATCTTTTTTTTTTGCATTATTTTTTCAAGGGAACAAAGCTTACCTGACATCGCAGAACAAGAAGAGTACTATGGCAACGTTGAAAGGTAAATAAAACTATTGTATTCCCAATGTATGTATATTCAAGTCACATCTTTTTTTTTTGCATTATTTTTTCAAGGGAACAAAGCTTACCTGACATCGCAGAACAAGAAGAGTACTATGGCAACGTTGAAAGGTAAATAAAACTATTGTATTCCCAATGTATGTATATTCAAGTCACATCTTTTTTTTTTGCATTCTTTTTTCAAGGGAACAAAGCTTACCACACATCGCAGAACAAGAAGAGAGATATGGCAACTTTGAAAGGTAAATAAAACTATTGTATTCCCAATGTATGTATATTTATAAGGTGGAAACTGACAAAACGGATAGCTTGTTTTACATAGTCCAATTCATTTTTGTCTTTTCTCTTACACCTCAAACAAACAAAAAATATATAGAATGGAAGATATTAAGAGTATCAAGTCGGTTTTCATTTACCCACTTCTCCCCTACCGCTCTGTCTCTTCCTTCCTCTCTCTCTCAATCAGATTTCAAGCTGAGGACATACGATCACCATGCGGACCAGATAAAGGCCCAGATGAGGACAGACTTTCCTGTGTTTATGACAATGACTTTTTGGAAGCTCAACAGCACCACAATAACAAAATGGCTCACTGAAGAGAATGCAAAATACAGCCACAAACAAAGGTGCAGTGACTAAGACTC